CATATAAACATCATTTTTTTTGTTTTGTTTTGTTGTTGCTTTTTTGTTTTTTTTTTTTTTTTTTAAGGAGAGGAGAAATCTTTTATGGGTTCTGCAATCTTCTTGGGTTTGTTTTTCCGTGTTTAACCTTTTTCTAGTTAATAGCAAAAAACGTGGGAGCATTTTTATTGAAAATTCTATTGGTGTCTTTTGCTAGCCATTCAAGCCCAAAAATTCTATTTATAACTATGGGATGCCTTAAAAACCTGGAGAAAAGACTGTCACCAGTTAAAAAATAAAGCCTCCAAGTAGTCCTGCAGCAAAACTAGACTCGAGACTCTTAGTTAAAAATAAAAGGGAGAGGAGGTAGGGCAGGGAAAGAAAGACCACGAGCTGTTAATTAGGAGTTTTAAAATATGATTCAGAGAATAACAAAGAAGTGGGTGACAGATTGCAGAACACACGAGCTATTTGCCCCAGACTTCCCTTTAAACCCACACTGTGGTATTGGTCACTTGGAGGTCTTTTCTGATATGACAGTCTGGTTTTTTACCTGATAAGTTGTTTTAGTCTGTGCAAGAGTTTAAATTGGGTAGTTTTACAGGACCTATCACATTTTGCAAGCAGAAATCATGTCTGCTTGCATCCATTGAAAGAACCCTGCATTAATCAGATACTCTGGAGATGCACTGGTTGCCTTCATTCTGGATTTTTCTCTCAGTCCAGGGTTGTCTTCCATAAACTGTTGTGTTTCTGTGGCTGTCTCTTCATGCATCTCAGGTGACTGAATTATTTGGAGGACACTTGGATAATCAATTGGAAGCAACAGTCTCCAGTATATCCAATTCTCTGTAGTTCTTTCCTAACTCAGATGTTCATAGTCTAACGCTTGTATGTTCCCATATTTCTTTTCTTGAATTGTCTAAATGCCATTCAGATACATTCAAATTAATTATGCACTGCATAAACAAATTCTGATAGAGATCTTTCAGCCCTCTTTTTCCATATCCATCACTGGATGTTGGTGTTTGGGAGTCTCCTGTATGTCAGCTCTTGCTTCCTTAATCTGATCCTAAGTGAATTAAAAAATGCCCTGAAATTTTTAGTTCTCTACAGTCATGAAGACAAGACTAAGCATTTTACAAACTCTGCTCCTGGTTTGAGAATTAGGTTTCTCCCATCACATTTATACATCCATTTTGCAGAAGCCTCTTCTGCTTAGTGATCCTCTGACAGTTCCATTTCAGATTCATGAGTTGCAGGAGTGTCTATGGGCATTATTTCCATTTTATTATTAGTTTGTTTGTTTAGTAGATATTTATTCAGTACACCATTTTCCTATTACTAGTGACTGAATATTTCCTGAAGCAAAAGGTTTCACTAGTAGTTGTGTACAGGCAGACTTCCAATAGTAAGAGGCTAAAATTATAAACACTTTATAAAAAACTGTGCCTTTAAAAGTCAGGTCTTATTTCAGAAAGATTGCTGGTGGCTCCAATTTCATGTTCAGGCTTCTTTGGCATTTCATTGGGAGGCTAGGGCGAAACTCCTTTCTATATATATATTTTACTCTAAGCCCCTGCTAATAAGTTATTCCAATAGATTTTCTTTAATGGATTTTCATCTTCTTATAGTCCGAGTCTATAGTATTTTTCATTACTCTGTTCAGCTGTTTAAATTACTAAATGTAATTCTTAAGAGTTTCATGAAGAAGCACACTCTGTAATGAGTTCTCTACAAACCTTTCACAAGCTGCTGTCTCAAGCCAGTTCTGTTATACAGTAGTGTATAAAGTAGGTCATAGTTTTTTCACAGTTATGCTGAAACAACCAAGTGTCAAAACAGAACACCAGACCTGTACATTAAGATGAGGGGAAATAGCGCCTATTATCCAAAATAGATGGTAAAGATGTTTGAGCTTAATGCATATATAAATAGGACAAAGGCCAATCCTCAGGCAGCTAATAGGAGTTCTGCAGATTTTTGAATATTCCACTCCCAGGAGCAAACGAACAGTAAATCCAGATACATTCCAGTGCTTCCTTTAGCCATCATCTGTGCCTCAACACTGCAACACATACCTGATAAACTATGTCAAATGAGCTGCACTCCCAAGGAACGTGGCAGACCAAGTCATAGATGACCTTATTGTAGTAGGAGCAGCAAGTCAAAAATAACAGTTAACAGTTGTGCTACTCAGGAGCAACCCCCACCTCGTTTCCAAGGAAATTAAGCACAGTCCCCACTAGTGCTTATTATTGTAGTGGTGGCTAAAGTGTCCTATGATTCCTATGATTTAGAACATGCATGTGACTAAAGGATACTTTAATCAGGTTTGTTCACTATTAAGGTAAGAGTAATGAGTAAGGAGTCTGAAAACTACAGTAAGGAGCAAGGAGACTGACATAGTGCCAACAAAATCATATGACCTATACAGGTAGAAACCCTAATACTAGAAATAAGTGAGATGTGAGATTTTTTTTTTTTTGTAACAACACTTAAGGGCCTCAGTTCCTCTATGTCTTAGGACTGGAAACAGGAGCTAATGTTTTAAAACCATATGAAATACTGTGATCATGCTGCCAATGAGCATGATTGTGTTACTTCTACTTAAATCTAATGTTACACCTCATTAAACCAGTGATTATGTATTCTCTGTAGATAATTTTCACACATTCAGTTACACAAATATCTTGGGATTTAAGGTGTTTGTCATTTTCCTGGGAGCTGAATCCAGCCTCCTGTGAGAATGGTTTCCTTGGCATTGCCCTGAGTCTGGCAGCAACTGCACAGTTGCAATCCTGTGACATCCCTGGGAGTTTGTTCTGCCCAGTTATGCCCATACGCCTTTTCCCAGCATGCTGGAAATCTCAGGGAGGAAAAAGAAATGTTCTCCTTTGCAGTAGAATCAGAGTTCTGCAATGGTAGGGATTTGCCAGCATAACTGCACACAGTGACTAGGGACATAAAACCATAATGTGGGAATGATGCTGCTAAAGTTTGACTTTTATTACTTCTTTAAATGCAACTGAAAATAGAAATGGGTCTTCATCTTGCTCTGTTGAAGGAATGACAGGACTTCTAAGACTGAAATGGTTAAAATTCAGCACAGGAATGGCATGGTTGTAAGCTTGGTCATTGGTGCTGACATTTACACTGTTCATTGCTTTTAGGTATGTGTTGTCTGAAAGAAACGGGCTGGATTATCAGCGAGTAGAACTTGTTCTAAACATCTTCCTTAGGCATTTCAAAGTATTTTAAGCAAGTTAGTTCAGTTTGAGGTGTCACATCCTGAAAAATACATTTTTCCAATGGAAATTTCTAGTGAAAAGACTTAGCCAGGCACTTCTTTCCCCATCTTTCCAGCTTATCTGAATCCTGAGGACATCTTACTTTTCTATCTGCATAGGAAGCAAGTATATGTCAGAAACTATTTAAACAACTGCTTGAGATTCAGATTCCTGCTGACAACCTGTGCTTCCTGGTTAGTGTGATGTGATTTGAAATTGTTATGCTTAAGTAACACAGGTTATGATAAGACATGGACACTCTCAACTAAAAGCACAGCTAGCAGATACCTAAAACACCTGCTTGCTTTAATGGAAAAGTGTGTGCGAGCCCTGAGGTTTTTGAATATGTTGCAATGTTTATGAAATATTTGCAAAGGCCAGCCTCATTACATCAAGGAGTATTAGATAAAATTCAACGTGCTAGACAGTATTTTGTATATAGGATATTCACTAGTCATATGGGATATTGAATCCACTCTTGATTTTTCCCCTCACCAGCTGTACGAGCAGAAGGCCTAAAATTCAGAAGGGTCTTGTTTCAGGAAGGCACTTGGCATGTATTGCCTTGACCATTGTAGAACATAGGGTGTATCCTGCCACTGCAGTCATATTTTGGGTTTCTAAGGTACTGGCTGTGTCCCTCCTCCTCATACATCACTTCTCCTGTGTGTTTTCTATGAGCTGAGCTCTTCCAGGTTGGTAGCACATTGAGCACCTTAAGTTAACACATGGGCCTGTTGCATCTCAGTACTCTGGGTACGTACCAAGAGGATTTTGTTTGCTGGTTTTCAGTTGCATGCCTTGGAAGGGTAACTAAGCCCTCCTGAAACTGTATGTAAAAAAGGGGAATATTTTTTTTTTTAGTTTATTTGGGTTCTTTGCCTCTAGCATAACTTTTACATATAAATCTCCCCATAAACTTGATGTGAAAGGTGTATAGTACAGATGCATCTTCTGAAAGTGTAGGGAGTAGAAAACCAGATTTTTTTAGGTTAAAAGGCAGTTTGTAAAACTAAAATATTAAACCCAGAATACGATAGCTGAAATCACAGGAGTAGAATGAGGAACCAGACTGTTGTATCAGCAGAAGAAAAACATTAGGTTAATCTGTATTACAGCACTCTGAAAGAATACAGAGCTTTGAAAACAGCTTTCACTAGGGGGTGGGACATTTTACTTTTATGTAGAGCTTTTGTTCATTTAGAATTGTTTACTCCAGCAAGCAACCCTGTGCTCTTTGTTTGACTGATTTTTTCCCATTTGGCAGACCCTTTGCAATCACATGGATAACATTCTTCTTTCACTGAGACATAGAAAAACTATTCTTTATTGACCTTGCTTGTTGTCCTAAATGACAAAAATATATTTATATACTAGGTGAACTGTATGACTTCATCCCTGACTTTTAATTGAAAATTCTTCAAAGCAAAAACCTCAAAGAGCTGCTTTCATTCTTTTTTTTTAAGAATCCAGTGACTTACTAGCAAACAGCTCTGCCCTCAGCTTCAGATGCACAACTCCCACAGCTGGCATGGAGAACTACGTGCAAGTATCTGAGTGCTGAAACTGTGTAAAAACAAAAAAAATGCCATGCATAAAAGAAATAAGCTTTTTGGGTTGAGTGGGGGTTTTTTGTTTATTTATTGAACAAGAGAGTATTTGCTGTGGAAGTATGGATGTTTACTTTTTTGTTTCTTTGCATGTTAATGGGGGTTTTTTGTATGGTTGCAGTGGGAAGCACCTTGGAAGACTTGGAAGAACACACCCCAGATTATTCAATATGTCAACTTTAGTTTCCTCACTAATATTGCAAAACACAAAGCTCATGGACTATAAACTATTTGATACTGATTTAGAAACTCTTTCAGCATTGTAGTTTTACTTTTACATGTGAGGTATTGTAAATCAAAGGGAGATTATATAAGGATCTAGCATGCCAAGACAAAATTCAGTCCTAGTCTAAGTGAACACAATTCCGTTAAAACAGATGGTATTGTGCACATTTAGCCAAAAATGTTCAGTCTGTGTTTATCTTGTTTTCCTGAATGCTCACTTAGGCAAGTGTTAAAGCTAAGGCAAAAATCTTCATTTGGCATAAACTGGACTTCACTGACTCGTGCAGAGCTGTGACAGTTCACACAAATCCAGGCCCTGTTCAGAACAATTTGCTGAAGCACTGTGCCCCTGCAATTCCAATGGAAGGCAATGAGAGCTGGGCTTGCTCTGCATTTCTGCAGGGGAAAAACATTCAAAGGCCCTTTTGTTACCACTTAGCACATGTGCTGAGAAAGGGTAGAATTAAGATCCCAGTGGTGGCATTTTCACAAATCTTATGTATGGTACTTACCTGTGTTAGGTCCAGTAAAACTCAGATTGGGCCCTCTGCTAAGGAGCCTTCATTTTTTTAACTTAGTCCTGTTGAGCATAGTCTTATTTAAGCCTTTATAATTTCACAATTAGAGAAGATATTTGCAGTTCTGCTACTAATTCCATATAAGTCAAAGATCTAGTTGTTTCAAACAAAGACATGATAAAACACGGATAAGAGCACTTGCTGTGGCTCCACATGGATTTCTTCCATCACTTACACAGACTTTGTCTTCACTGTTATACCAGTACCCACCCCTCGATTTTTTTCCTGGGTGGTGATAGTTGTTGCACCAGATCTGGAAAATCAAACCATTTGAAGAAAAAGCCTTCTTCAACCCCAGCTGTATGATCCTATCCCTTCCTTTTCCCAAGCATGAGCAATTGAGCCAGGACAGGAAACTGCTGAGCCAACTGGAAAAAAAAAAATCACTAGTCTGTTAAGAGTTTGGCTGCTCATCTCTTTGACTGGCTCACTGTGGGTTTGATAGGTGCCAGAGCTAAGGGTAAGCATGGGAATGTGGCCAAAGGTGGAGGAATGTGGCCTCTAGAAGCCTGTTTCCTTCAGTTTAACTTAGCTTACACTTACAGTGCTGTCTGTAACACCGTTAGTTCACTGTAATGGAAAAAACTTCAGGTGGATTTTAACAGCAAGGTAACACAAACATTGTAAGTAAATAGTAAAGCCTTTATTCTCGTTAAGAACAGCATTTTGAAAATAAAACATTTGCCCATGCTTTACAACCTTTGTAGTTTTGTATACTTATGTACAGTCATCATGGTACACATTGATTGTCTTGAAAATCCTTTAAAGATGTACTTAATAAGATACCAGTATGCAACAATCAGCGGAAAAAAGGGTACGTTATAAAACACACGTTAATACATTTAATAAATATATATTATCTATCAAAAATGAGCTTTAGCTCTCATCAATTAATAAAAAGCACCTGCTTTGTAATCCTGTAAGTTGGTAGAATAGTCCAATTGTTTTATTATAAAAGCTACAATGCTCCCTTCTGTATGGCCTTTGGTTAAATCCAAGGCATCAAGCTCAAACAAAGCCAACCAAGATGCCTGTGTTTAGACTAAAAGCTGAAACAGCTCGTTCTATAGTAGTTCATGTACCTTGTTTATAGAAACAATTGTATGTCTTGAGAGTGTTCTTCTGAAGATGCTACAGATTTTCTGGCAAGCCTCAAACACCCTCAACTCATCTGAAAGTGGGACAGGATCTGTAAAGAATGGCTTTGAACTCTTTTCCAGCCATTGACCAAAAGCCAGTCATTATAAATCTTGTTTTGGTAATAGTTTTTCAGATGCTTTGTGATTCCATTTTTCTGCATGGAAACACCATAAGCACATAACCATCAAGGGACAACACAGTAGCTTTTATAGTATAAAAGCTAATTATAATTAGGAGAACTGCGAAAGGCTTGTGCTTACTTACTTATTATGTTGTTCACAGATGCTCTACATTCTAGAAAACTTTCAAAAAAGGCAAAAGTAAATACTGTAACAAAAATATAAGTTAACATAAAGGTGCCTTTCTTCAATTACAGTTTTATTTGGGGCATTTTACATCACAGACTAGTTTACAAAAAAAAGTTGCTTATTACTAATTGTATAAAGTTGGAAAATAAAGACCCTCCTAATCTATTGCCACACTTTCACCACCACACGTTAAACCCAATCCTGCTGATTTTTAGTTCTGTAAATAGTCCACATGACTAACCCAATGAGACTAGTCATGTGAGTAGCAGTTTGTAGGATCTGGCCTTATCTTTGCATAAGGCCTCAAATTCCAAACAACTTCATCAGAAGCAGGATTGGGAACTCTATTTATCAATTCAGTCACATCTAGAAAAAGAAAAAAAAAGTTTCTTAAGATAACTATATCTTGTACAGATTTTGTCCAAGGTCTGTAAAATGTGTATTATACTTCATCAGTCTTGGTTGTAGCATGATAAACTTTTAAAAAGAAAGCTGTCCTACCATTTGTGCCATGGTCATCTTATATGTTTTTATGATAGAGTTTTATGAGGGATTTTTTTAAATTGGTTTTTAAAAGCAAAATTCTGCAGGCAAGTGATGGGTAATAGTTTTTTTATTGTTCCAAATTATGCATCATATGGGTGGCTATCATTATCTCAAATAGTCTTATTTGATCAAAGCTCTACTTAAAACAAGCAAGATGTATTTCTAAGTCGCTGGATAGCATGCAATATCCACCCCTACCCTACTTGGTTACTAAGGCCATCTAGTTACATACAAAATGAAATAAAGGATCCCTAAAACAAGCACATGCTTCCTTTGCCTCGAGGAGGGAAGGGCAGGGGGGTGCTAAACGTACTCCTTCACTCATGCATGACAGAAAAACATTGCTTCTGGAGGAGAAGGACTTTGAAATAAAACCCCATAAGATGATCATGGCAAGAATGGCAATATATATTTTTCCATATATATATATACATATATCTGTGTGCAACACTTAGGGACTGGTCTTGCAGCCTCTGTACCTGTATGTAGACCTACTGGTGCCGATGGGACTACTCGTGGGAGTACAAGTCTGCAGGACTAGGTTCCTAATTCAGTAGAAATGGAGGTACATGAAGAATCAGGAAGACTCTTGAAAAATAAAAAGCTTGTCTTTCTTTTGCAGTACACAGCAAGTAACTTCTTTCTCTGAAGCTACTAAGCTATTCGGTTATTTGTACATTTTATTTTTTTTTAGTTTGAAAATATATATTTTTATTACAGCATATGCAAAGTTTAATTGTTATATGTTTCCTATGCCTTCAAGTAAAAACAATTAGCTTTTAGTATCGAGGAAAGCTAAGATTAACATTGGCCAAACAGTGAGGATACAATGATGTTTTCAATGTCCGATATGTATTAAATGTTAAAGAAAGGAATGATTGCTTCAACATAATGAAAAACCATGGCACAAAAAATGGGCAATGGGAACCTTTTAAATAACCTGGAGAAAACAAAGATAAAAAGGTTTGAGAAAGTCTGCCTTATATCAACTCAAGAAAATGGATGGGGAGGGGAGGAGTAGGGAAGAAACCACCTTAAATAAACAAAAACGACAAACCACCTCCAGCACGGAGATTCTACTCTCTAGGCACTAAAATGCACAACCACATTTAAATGCACAAACAACTGCAGTCAAGGGGACTACTCATACGCACAGGGACTAGAAAGGGAGGTCTCGACCCTACTCTGCTGCTGAGTGTCTCCCAGGGGTGGTCAGTGCTCCTCAGCTGCCCCCGCGCTCCCGCCTGGCCATCAGCCCGACCCCAGGGCTGGGCAGGGCAGCAGCGCTGCCTTTCATCCACCAGCACAACGAACCGCTGCTGCAAACGCCACCACTCACATTCCCTCCCAGCTAAACCTTTGCCAAAGTCCATCCCTGCAAGGTTTCACTGAACGGCTTCGCCTGCAGGACACGTGGGAGCACGCAGCTCTCCGCTCGCAACCGGGATCGAGGCTGGAATAACGGGGAATCCATCCCGTGAGGCCGAGGACGGCTGCCTCTGTGCTGGACCTGCGCTTTCCCTCTCTGCCTCAAGAAGCTCCATAACTCGCGTGAAACATGCCTAGACCTTTCATCCCTCCAGAACTGCACCTCCTAGACCAGCTTGTTGAAGAGCAGTGTATCAGCCTACGGCGTTATGGGAATTTAGTTGCCACAGAGTGACAATGCTCGACTACACATGATGCTACGTGACTGTACAGTACAGCTACATAATGAGCAAACAAGGTACTTCTCATGACGTTTGAAATGAAGGGAAAAGGAGCAAAATGGAAAGAAGTCCTGCGTGGCAATCTCTTGTGGCAACATGAATTAAGTTTAGGTGAGAGGAGGGTACTTTGCAAGCAACTGGCAACCACCAAAAACAGGCTTGCCTGGCACACAAGTTACAGACAAGAGAATATCTTACATTTCAGAATACAATATCCCCTCTTCCAATTTAAGGTGTGCCTACTTCAATTTTAAGTTAGATTCAGCTTCAGTTTTACAATTTTGTTTCTGCAATTTTCAGTTCAATGGTGTTCACATTTAGACAAAATCCTCTGTAGGATTTCGAAAGATCCTGGATGTTTTGTTGCTTTGTTCTGGTACTGTTATGGATTCCTTCCCTCAAAGACACACTGCCAGGGAACAACATCTGCAACAAGGATTCTTATTCTCTACAGCCTACAGCCTTTCACCAGAGGTGTCGTCCAGTGTAACTTGGCGGAGCAGTTGGTATCTGGAAATAAGGATAACAAACCCATAACTGAGAGATCTAGACTGTTCAAAAGTCAGTGTTATCATGCTACATGTACATGAGAGCTTTCCAGATGGTAGTTCTAGAGCAAAGTGATACAAAGAGGCTCGTCTTCCATCCATACAGTGCATTCACCTCTCTGTAAAAACCATGGCTATATATACACATTAATCACTATCTGATGTTCTCCATTGAGCTTCGTATCCACCTCAGAACAAAGAAAAACAAACAAAGAAACCCCCAAACCAAATTCTCAAGCTTTTCATCCTTAAACTGCCTTTTCCCTGAGCTGCACATTCTGGTATCAGAAAACAGGCAGAGATGAATCCAAACATCAGAAGGATGCAATCCATTACTGACACAAAGCAAAGCCTTTTCATTTTATTCAAGTTGACATGTTTCACATTGTCTTACCCACACAGGAGAATTCTTTTATCTAGTCCCTCCTGTTCACTATAATCAACCAAAACTTTACTTATTTAAAAACAAAACCAGACCTGTAATCAGTTCACGTTATTTGATTTTAAATGTAGAGGTTGAGTTATGGAATCAGCTCATGATTCAAACGAAAGAAAACCCAACTCACATGAGTATAAACTGGCTCATGAGTAGATTTTTAAGAAGCATGTAGATATGCATGAAGAATGTGGGGATGAAAATTCTTCTTTTTTAACAGTATGCCTGCTATATGAAATGTCTTAAGCGCGAATTACACATGATGTGAAAAACATTTAGAAAATCCGTTTGGCATCAGATCACTAAACCATTCTTACAACAAGCAGGCTGCAGAAAAACAGGTCTATCAAAGAATTGCATGCCAAACTATTGTCTAAGGAAGAAAAATCAATGCTATTAACATTAAAATATTCTATATTCCTCTTTTATGAACCCCTTTTCAAGAGAGGTACAAATCTGTAAGTTACAAAGAATTACATACATTTTACAAGGAAACAGAAGATGGGAAAGATCACCACTATCTGCAACAATTATTCTTATTTGAAGCAATGCACTGGCCTGTAAACATTTCTGTGACTCACATAATCTTGAAAAATATCAGGTTAGAAATGGTGTCACTTAATAGTTATGTTAAATATCTTAACACAAATTAGATTTGAAAGGGCCATTGAACATGTAGTCTCACAAAAAAACTTGGTTCACTCAAGCTGCACTGCAAAATCTGAATGGCCAAGTAAAGAAATGCAAAATACTTGTTAATTACATATTTTCTAGAGGGAAAGGAAGCATTACATGCATACTTGCTGCCTGAATTTTCATTTATAGCTCTCCCCCTGCTGTGAATAAGCTACAAGCAGGTTTTTCAATTAGTAGTGGTTGTATATATCAGTGCATATCAGAGATTTCTTAAATCATCACATTTTGATACTTACAGTCCCACCATTTAGCACAACTGCCATCTCAGTTGGCTGATAAACATTGCTTCTAAAAGGAGCGCTGGGTCGGCTT